GTGAGAAGATAAAAGAGACTAACCCGGGCAGCATTGTCTCCTTTATTACCAAGGATGATTCGAGCTTCCATCGACTCTTTGTCTCATTTCATGCCTCGATATCTGGTTTTTACAAGGCTGTCGACCTCTAATTTTTCTTGACAGTACTATTTTAAATTCGAAATACGGAGGGATGTTGTTGGCTGCTACGGCCGCCGATGCAGAGGATGGTATTTTTCCTGTAGCTTTTGCTGTAGTTGATGCTGAGAATGAAGACAATTGGACTTGGTTTCTAAGGGAACTCAAATCTGCAGTTTCTACGTCAAGCCAGTTAACATTTGTTGCAGATTTTCAGAATGGTTTAAAGCAGGCATTGGCTGATGTATTTGATAAATGCTACCACAGCTATTGTTTAAAACATCTTGCCGACAAACTCATCGGAGATTTAAAGGGGCAGTTTTCTCATGACGCCAGACGGTTTATGATCAATGACTTTTACACTTCTGCCCGTGCACCACGACTTGAAGGTTTCCAGCAAGCTGCTGAAAATTTGAAAGCCATTTCTCCTGAAGTTTACGACTGGGTCATTCAAAGTGAACCAGAGCACTGGGCAAATGCCTTTTTTGGAGGAGCAAGATATAACCACATGGTCTCAAGCTTTGGACAGGAGTTCTATAGTTGGGTATCAGAAGCACACGAGTTTCCTATAACACACATGATTAATCTGTTACGGGGTAAGATGATGGAGTCGATCTACAAACGTCGTGTGGATTCGAGTCAGTGGATGACGACCTTAACTCCAAGTAATGAGGAAAAGTTGCAGAAGGAAACTGCAATGGCGCGGTCACTTCAAGTGTTACTCACACATGGTAGCATCTTTGAAGTTCGTGGGGAATGTGTTGAGGGGACATCTGTTGAGGTTGTTAATATAGATCATTGGGACTGCAGCTGCAAGGGCTGGCAACATACTGGTTTGCCTTGTTGTCATGCTATTGCTGTCTTTGAATGCATTGGTCGAAGTCCTTATGACTATTGTTCTAGATACTTCACAACCGAGAGTTTCCGCTTAACTTATTCCGAATCCATTCATCCTGTTCCAAATGTGGAAGGACCAATCGAGGATGAATCACTTGAGGTAGCTGTTACTGTAACTCCTCCAACTGAATGCCCACCAGGTCGACCAAAGAAGAAGCAGGAATCAATAGACCTTCTCAAACGGCAGCTCCAGTGTAGCAAATGCAAGGGCCTTGGCCACAACAAGAAAACTTGCAAAACAACCCTAGTGTAGATGTAGGACACCGTAAGTAGGCACCTACTCTTCATGTTTTTACAGCTATATAAAGGTTAAATAGACTTTTATATTGTAGTGTCATATGGCTTTACGCATTGTGCTATATTTGCCTTATGTTCTTGAAAAATTGCCCGTTATATTCGTATATTCTGCCTATCATTGTGTGGCCTGTAGAAGTTGCTGAGCACTGAGTATTGCTCTTATTGCTGGCATCTATTTTCCATGCATTAACCTGGGAACCAAATGCGATAGAACATTACTAGCCAATAACCATATGTGACATAGGTCGGATTTGCTTCTTGTTGTTGTGTGGCACCATAAATCATCTCATAGACATGATGAATACGTGATTTCCGTTATTTTTGTGATTTTCGAAGATTCATGCTTAGACAAGGCTGTGGTTCACTGATCTGTGTGCATGCATTCTCTTCATTTCCTTGCTAAAGACGTGTTCTTTGTTGCAAATCAGTGCCTTATTTGGACTTTTTAAGTGGGGTGCTTTCTTTCACTACTTCTGTCATGTCCTGATCCTTCATCACCATTCCGAGTGCTGACCAACTATCTGAAAGCAAGCATATGCGGTAACAGTAACGACCCGGAGCTGCGGAGACTGCCCTTTTTTCTTTTACTTTCTGTTTGTAAGAATATGAAAAAAAATCAACAATTATGGTCTTATTTCTTTTGATTTGGTGATGAGGTGACTGATCGGCAGGAGCAGGGCTTAACTTGGTGTGACTTTTTGTTGGTTAAACTGGGATGTATTTCCCTTATTGTTTAACTTAGAACACTTTGAATGTAGTTCCCCCCCCCCCCTTGCTTTCTATCTCGTTTTGTTTAGTACAAGTCATGCAAATGGATGGAAAGAAAAAGGATATATGCTGTGGGTGCAATGGTTTCTTATGGGAAGACGCTCGTGTGTTTTTTGTAACACTTCCAATAATTTGATTTGATTTCAGAAAGTAATCCTTTTCATTTGGGTTGATTCATAGATAAAGATATATCTTAGCCTCTTAGGTATACTATCTCATTTGGGTTGATTCATAGGTAAAAAGTATATGTTTTAGAACACAAACATGAATTATTTGGAACATAATAAGCTAATTTTTAATAATTAAGAGACTTAACAAAGTAACATTTGGAGGTTATTTTGTAATTTTTTATAATTGGAGGATTCAATAAAGCAACATCTATAATCGGATGATCATTTGTATATTTTACAAATATTTTAAGGGTAAAGTATAGTAATGGTCACTGAACATTTCAGAAGCTTGCATTTAGGTCCCCTAACATTTAAAACTTGTAATACAGTCCCCAACATTTATTCCGTTTGTAATATGGTCTTCCAACTTAAACCACATTTAGAAAATTAGGATAAATTATATAAATGGTCATTGAACTTTTCAGTCACTTGAATTTAGGTCCCCCAACTTTTAAAACTTGCAAAACAATCATCAATTTCATTCTAAACCCCAATTTCCAAAGTAATTCAATTTTATTCTAAACCCTAAATTCCAAAATACTTAAATTAAATTCAATTATGTCAAAGTTATTATTATTTAATTTCATCTTATTTCATGTGATACGTATTTTTTATATAAATATAATAGTATAATTCTTATCTGTTGAAGAAATTTTTTAATTAAAAAAAGTAGTTAGGATATAAAAGAGGTTGAAATAATTCGAATTTTAAATTTATAAAATGTTATTTGACGTATAAATAAAAGTGTAAACTACTCGGTTGACAACTTAACTATCTAGCCCTTTTTACTTTTGTCATCGATCTTTTAAATTTATCAATCATACCACATAATTATTTAACTGTTTCAACTAAGCCACTAGTCGTTACCAATTGATAAAAATGATGATGTGGCAGTTAAAAGGAATTGACATTATTATACATTCAGTCTTTATTATTTATATAATCAATTTGGTCCTAAATTAAATAAAATTTAATAAATTAATCATTTAATTAGGATCTGACATGTGTTAGCACATGATCATGACACGTGTCATTGGTGACACGTGTTACCACCTAATTATTTATATATGCTATCAATTTGGTCCTAAATTAAATAAAATTTAATAATTAATCATTTAATCAGGATCTGACATGTGTTAACACATGATCATGATATGTGTTATTGGTGACACATGTCACCTCCTAATTAGAAGAAAATTAAGTTACAAAGAAGTAAAATTTGGGTCTTGGGCAAACTCAAACCTGAGTCACGCAAATGAAAGATATAGGGTGGAGCCACTAAGCTAACACCATCGTTTGTGTTAAGAGATATACAATAATATACTAATATTAGACCAATGCCAGAAAAAAAAGAATATAATGTAAAATGGAAATAATGAGATTTGAACTTCGGCAAAAAATTTGAAAGCAATAAATGATGGGAAAATATTATATTTTTTACAATAAAAAAATATATTTGATAAATTGTTTGATAGATTTAATATATTTTTAAATATTAGTTGATACAATATTTTAAAAGAATAAATTTAAGATTTATATTTTTAAACTAAATTAATAATTATTTTTCATATTTATAATTCATGATTATATATATAATCTTAAGTTGAGTATTTCTAATATAATTAATAATTTTAATTTCTTATTAAAAATAAAATATTCAAAAAATATAAATGATTCATACATTAATATATGAATATATTTTTTATTTATACATCTAAATATAAATATACATTTATATAAATATATTTTTATTCGTTGTGTCTGTGCCTTGAACTCTTTCTTCAAGCCTATATTACCTTAAATTGAAGTATTTTAGAATTTAATTGAAGTATTTTAGAATTTAGGGTTTAGAATAAAATTGAAATACTTTGGAAATTGGGGTTTAGAATGAAATTGATGACTGTTTTGCAAGTTTTAAAAGTTGGGGGACCGAAATTCAAGTGGCTGAAAAGTTCAATGACCGTTTATATAATTTATCCTAATTTTCTAACTGTGGTTTAAGTTGGGGGACCATATTGCAAACGGAATAAATGTTGGGGGATTGTATTACAAGTTTTAAATGTTGGGGGACCTAAATGCAAGTTTCAGAAATGTTCAGTGACCATTACTATACTTTACCCATATTTTTAATATAGTCTGAAATTAGCATATAAAAATATAATTTTAAGTTTATTGAAATTTTCATTAGACTCAAATTATCTATACTATAAATACATATATACATACATTTATAATTTTATTCATGTTTTAAATATATTTGAGTTGTCAATTATGCATGCAAAAATGCTATCTTTTCACCATTATTATCGTAATTCCTTGTGAATTTTCTGTTGGTTCATTGTGTTTGCCATTATCTCTTGCCTTCTGCCTTGGCCTTTGAGGGTGGCCACCAATTGTTTCGATAACATTCAACTGCACTACCATTTCCAGCTTGTTTGAATGCTTTGTAATTAGGTTTTTGGATGAGATATGAGCTCTTTGCAGACCCTTTTAGTACCTTCACTGACCTCTGCTGTCTCATCAACCTCAAACCCTGGTTATTCACCTCTGGAAGCTCTCGAAACATGCTCCTCCATGGCCAAACTCAAGCAACACCATGCCCAAACTCAAGCAACACCATGCCCAACTCTTCAAACTCGGCCTTTCCTCCGATAATGATGCCATGGGTCGACTCATTAAGTTCTATATCATTGAAGAAACTGGAGATTTGAACTATGCCCTCCACCTGTTCGATACATTGCCTCAACCGGATGCTTTCATCTACAATACTATCATCAGAGGCTACTTGCAACGCCAACAACCTGCTCAATGCATCCTTTTCTACTTGTTAATGTTGCAAGACTCTGTTCTTCCTAATAAATTCACTTTCCCTTGTCTCATAAGAGCCTGTTCGGTCGATGGTGCTATTCGACAAGGGACGCAAATCCATGCCGGCATCTTCAAATTCGGGTTCGCGGTTTTGTCGAAACAATTTGATTCATATGTATGTGAATTTCAGGGCCTTGGAAGATGCTAGGAAGGTTTTTGACAAGATGCCTGGGAATAAGAGAGAAGTTGTTTCGTGGACTACTTTGATAAGTGGGTATGCTCAATTGGGTCTCGTCGATGCGGCTGTCGAGATTTTCGAGCTGATGCCGGAGAGGAATTCGGTTTCTTGGAATGCCATGATTGCTGCTTATGTGCAGAGCAATCGCTTCCACGAGGCTTTTGGTTTGTTTAATAGGATGAGGGCTGAGAAGGTGGTGCTGGATAAGTATCTGGCAGCTAGTATGTTATCGGCATGTACCGGTTTAGGAGCTCTCGAACAAGGCGAGTGGATACATGAATATATACAAAACAAAGAGATCGAACTGGATTCGAAACTTGCGACGACCATTTTCGATATGCACTGCAAATGCAGGTGCTTGGAGAAAGATTATGAAACTTTTAAAGGTCTTACTTGTAAAGGGATTTCTTCATGGAATTGCATGATTGGGGGCTTTGCTATGCATGGAAAAGGAGAAGCTGCCATTGCCATTTTCAAGGAAATGGAGAAGGAAGGAGTCGGTTCCGATGACATAACCTTTGTGAATATCCTTGGTGCATGTTCTCATTCAGGGTTGATCGAGGAGGGTCATTATTACTTCCGGTACATGACTGAAGTTCACGGAATAGAACCCCGAATGGAGCATTATGGATGCATGGTTGATTTGCTTGGAAGGGCTGGATTACTAGCTGAAGCCAAAACGCTAATTGATCAAATGCCAATGAGCCCCGATGTAGGTGTACTAGGTGCCCTTTTCGGAGCATGTAGGATCCATGGAAATATCGAGTTGGGAGAGGAGATAGGCAAGAGAGTAATAGAGCTGGAGCCGGACAACAGTGGACGCTACGTGTTATTGGCCAATATGTATGCCGATGCCGGCAGATGGGAAGACGTGGCTAACGTGAGGAGAATGATGAACGAGAGGGGAGTGAAGAAAGTTCCTGGTTTCTCCGTCATTGAATTACAAGGTGAAGTTAATGAATTTATAGCAGGAGGAAGGGACCATCCTGAGAGTAAAGAGATATACACGAAAGCTGACTAGATGCTCGAATGTATTCGAGCTGTCGGGTACGTCCCTTCGGAAGGGAACGATACAAGAGCTTGATGAGGAAGAGGAAAAGGAGAATCCTTTGGCCTATCACAGCGAGAATCCATTGCCTTCGGATTGTTGAAGACGAAAGCAGGGGAAACATTTTGAATAACAAAGGATCTAAGAGTTTGCAGAGATTGCCACCATCTCCGGGATTGGATCCCGGTGAAAAGAGATCCATTAAAAAAGACTATATATATATAAACTAAAAAAAGTGTTTGTTCTTGCAAAGATTACTGGTAAACAAGCGCTTACCATTTACTTGTGGTCTAACTACGGTTTAATCCCTCTACTATACTGAAATTCGAGATTTGACTCTTACACTTCAATATAACATAATTTGGTCTTTCTACTCTTACAATGTTATCATATCGAAACACTTGACGTCGTTAGAGTGATTTTATGGGATTTTCTACTATTATCCGATTCATAGTAGTAGCCTGTGTAAGGTTATTTTATAGTAAAGTTCATATAATTATTTTAACGACAATAAATAAGAGTGTCATCAATTTGAACTACTAATACTATACGAGTAAAAGATCAAATTATATTAAATTAAAATAGAGAAATTCAATGCTCAAGTAAACTGAATGGATATTTTAATTTGGTGTACGATTATTGTATACTCAGCATCCCCAAACAGCTGTCCAATTTGCTACATGCATTAATCAACAATCTAAAAGCAGCAAAATTCCAAACTAATTCAATGACAACTAGATAAATTCTTTTTTTCATAAATAATAACTGTTAATTTATCAAATAATTGTGACTAAAATTGATACTTTTTATTGGTGATTTAATTCACAACAGCTTAATTATGTGGTAGTTTGAATCCCCAATTTAAATTTGATTCCACGTTATTTTTTATATATAAAAAGGAAGTTTAAAGGAAAAGAAAAGACAGCAGAGCAAACTTTCAATTGACATTAGTTCTGTATAAAAGCTTAGCTGCTTCCATTTACACTGTTAACTGTAAAAACCATGTCTTTCCACATCACCTACTTCTGATAATTCCACATTTTCTCATCGCCCGATGCCCAAAAAGCCGAACCCATTTCTCGCAAACCCAGAAAAAGCATTGAAACCTGCACAAAAATCCCTTCTTTTTTTAGAAATTGCTATTTGCTGCACCCATTTCAATGTGCTTCACTTTGGGGTTTATACCTTCTTTCATTATAAACACCTCCCAAACTCCAATTTCTGCTTCTTCTTCTACCCCCTTTTGTCTCTAACAAGCACTGCCTGAACCAGGTTTGTACTGATAACTGCTCTTCACTTTGTTTGATGGCATCTAAAGTTCAAAGTTTTGACTTTTTTATTGATCCAGTCAAATGATGCCTGTAATTCTTTTTTTTTTTGCTAGAAATGTATAATTTTATTTGATGTTTGATTTAGAGGCTTTGGGTTTTGGTGTTTATTGAGTGTGGTCTGTGGACTTTGACTAGAAGATCTTAGGGTTTATGTTGGGAGCTTGATTGTGGTCTAAGATCTTTACTTGCTTTCCAGCTGCTCTTGTTTAATGTGAAATATTTGATTTGCTATATCTTATGTAATTGGAAATGAGATTTGATTGGACTATCAATTGATATTTGAATAAATGCTAGATATGTGGCCGTTTTCTTTTCATTATTAGATATAGATTGTGATTTTAAGATGTTTTCGATGATGATCGTTTGTCAGGCATGCTGGTGTTGGCTAAATGGCGTCCGATCTGGACAAAACTCTATCGAAAACATACATTGGTCTGCAGCTTTGGGTGCTTATTGTAATATGCTTAGGAGAGGTTTTTTTAGTTATTCTCGGTATAGATCTGTGGCTTAGTTTTCGGAAGAAAACCAGAACGGGTAATGATTTGAATCTCGTAAGGCAAGCACCTTATATGCCTTATGTTTCGGAGGAAATTAAGGAGATAAGAGTCGATCAAGCTTCGGCGAACAATGGTGATATCAACACCCTTGATGCTAAATTCAGTGACAGAGACTCTGATAAGGTTTTGTTTAATTCTGACAATGGAGATGAAAGTGGCCAGTCCGGCTCGTTTAATCATTTGGGGAAAGACGTTAAAGGATCTCAATTGGTGGTAGAAAGAGGCACGGGAGTGGTTTCCACATTCAGGCCTTCTTCACATCCGCTAACTGCACCTTCACCTTTGTCAGGTCTACCTGAATTTTCACACCTAGGTTGGGGCCATTGGTTCACTCTTAGAGACCTACAGCTTGCAACTAACCGGTTTTCAAAGGATAATATTATCGGTGATGGTGGATATGGAGTTGTTTACAGGGGCAATCTGATTAATGGGAACCCCGTAGCTGTCAAAAAGCTCCTTAGCAATCCGTACGTTGTATAGAAGATTAATCCTTTGGTTTGTGTTTTGTTGTCTATAGCTTCTAAGGTTCCCTCGTACTTGTTCTATGTTCTTTTAGTGGGCAAGCTGACAAGGATTTCCGAGTGGAAGTTGAAGCCATAGGTCACGTGCGGCATAAAAACTTAGTTCGACTTCTTGGGTACTGCATCGAGGGAACTCAAAGGTACTCTATCATTTTATGTAGGCCCTATTATAAAGATTGAGTAGGCTGCTCGTGATTTTGTATCCCTGTATGAGAGTTAATGTTGATAAATTGTTATATTTGTGTTCTTATAATCCGGGTTGCATAGAAGGAAAGATATCTTTACTGATTTTTTAAAAAAAAATCTGGCTAAAACTCCAGGATACTTGTTTACGAATATGTCAATAATGGCAATTTAGAGCAATGGCTCCGTGGGGATATGCCTCAGAAGCGATATATCACTTGGGAGGCTCGTATAAAGATTCTTATTGGTACTGCCAAGGCGTAAGTTTGCATTTAACTAAATCTTGGTTGTTAATGCTTACTTTCAGTTTATTCTCATTTTGTTAGTCGAAAACTAAATGTTGCAGGTTGGCTTATTTGCACGAAGCTATTGAACCAAAAGTTGTACACAGAGACATAAAATCGAGTAATATATTGATTGATGAAAATTATGATTCTAAGATATCTGATTTTGGTCTGGCCAAACTGCTAGGCGATGGGAAAAGTTATGTCACAACTAGAGTTATGGGTACCTTTGGGTGAGAATAAAGTCCTTCCTTGACAACCTACTGCCTTGGCCTTCTCAACTTATGTTAGTATCCTTAGAGAATCCAAAAAAATTTGTTAATTAACTACGTATTTTTCTTCGTGTTGCATAATTTTCCAGTTATGTTGCTCCGGAATATGCCAACTCTGGCCTCTTAAATGAGAAGAGTGATGTTTATAGCTTCGGTGTAGTGCTCTTAGAAGCAATTACCGGAAGGTACCCCATTGATTATGGTCGCCCTCAGCCTGAGGTACAGAAAAATGCATCTTTATCACGAGAAGTTTTGTTGTTTTGAGACATGAATAGTATATGCTCAAAATTGCACTGAAGCTCTTTGCATCATTAATTACCTCATGATGTCAATGTTATGTCTGATGCCTTTGTCAACAATTTTAGACATAGCGCACTTGATATAAAAATTTGTTTGACGTATCTTGTTGTATGGTAACCTCTCAGGTAAATATGGTTGAGTGGCTAAAGATGATGGTTCAACAACAACGCTCAGAGGAAGTAGTTGACCCTAACATAGAGACTAGACCATCGATCAGTGCTCTGAAACGGGCTCTTTTGACTGCTCTGAGATGTGTCGATCCCGATGCTGATAAAAGACCAAAGATGAGTCAGGCTGTTCACATGCTTGAATCAGAGGAGTATCCTATTCCTCGGGAGGTTCGATTCTGATACCTTAACCAGTTAATAAGTATCACTTGTCGTTACTACTCGAACTCTATGTTAAAGGAAAGAGGCTGAGCAACTTCTTTGCTTTAGTTTAGATTGTCTGTCAGGAGAATGTCTGGTTTAAGGTTGTAACGTGGCTAAAATTTTCAGGATAGAAGGCGCAGAAGGAATCAGACAGTGAACTCAGAACCGAGAAACTCAGATGCTGATAGGAGTGACGATCCGGATTCAAGGTCGGACAGCAGAATGTAACGCCACCCCTCCTAGACTTAGCAGAGACGAGGCAAGCGGGGGAATTCTTTTTTCTTAAACTGTTATGGAGATTCTATTTACTTGTAGATTGTAGAGAAAGATTAGTTTGTTTTCTTGAAATTGCATTGTTCGGTCATGAGATTCTGTACAGGGTCTATCATATGGATTCGCTAAAAAAAATTCGCTTTTATGAACTCATGTTGCAGTGCTCGGATCTTATATATATATACACATACATTCGAGTGTCGGGTACAAATATGTCTGAATACGCCATGTTGCAGGTGTTTGTGGTGGATGGATAGTTGTGATTAGGCTGTGCTTAATGATTGAAGTTTAAAATTATGAGCATTTGCCTATGGGGTGGCCATGTGCAGATTTACTAATATCTAAGCTGCTGTCTCCATGTGGTGGGGGTAACATCTAATCTAACACATGCTTTGGTTTTGTTGGTACATGAAATCATTGAAGCCTTCCCATTCTCATCTTAGCTGTTGCTTTGTTTAGCACTGGTATTCTTCACTCTTTATAATCCATTTTTATATCTTTATTTATTTTGATTTTATAACAAAATCAAAATATATTATGTATTTAATGTTACACGGAAAACTGTTTTTGTTTTCTTAAATAACATTGAAGAGAGCATGTCCAGTTAAAAGTTTAAGAAATGAGACTAATGATTAATCATCATTGTTATATAGGTTCAAAAGAGAGACATGTTGGCCATAAGTTTTAAAGTTCCTCCATTTTCAGGACAAAATTAGAATCATCCACCACTTACAAAATTAAAACAATAATTGAACCCAAAGAACGATCTCGACAGTAAAGAAAATGATGTTCTCCTTATGTGACTTCAGGTTCAAGCAATAACTTCAATTATATAAAGTACATGATTAACTTAAAAATTCAAGTATAATAGAGGGACCAAAACTAAAATTAGACTATTGTCTTTGTAATGACCAAAAGAGATTAGAAAGGGCACTTATAATCAATCATTTAACTCGTGTAATCAACCATTACATATGCTATAACTTGAATGCCAACTTTGACAACAAAAGCATTGAAATCCAAATTCAAGTTATACTATGGTCAAACCAGCAGCATTAAACTCAACGTCAAACCAAAAACACCAAGGAGCTAACAAAGCAGAAAGCATCATGTTCGCCGTTTAAATGAGTGACAAAAGAATTCCATAACTGATGCTACACTGTAAACTTGTATCATCTAATTGCTTACTGGTACAATGCAAACTACATTCACCGTTAAGAGGGCATGTTTGATCTAATTGCTTACCGAATACAACTACGAGGACGGCAACTCTGGCCCGGGAATCTGGGTTTCGGCCTCGAGTAGCCCATGGTTATTAGCTTCTATATCAACTTCTTTTCAGCATTAGCCTGGGAAGGAAAAGGGAACAAAATGGTAATATGAGCAAAAAGATCAACCTATCAGATATTGCTTGAATGAAAATCCAAACCTCAAGCATGGGGTTATTCTTTGGGATATTGCACGCCACAACTATATTAAGTCCAGTCTTTAGCACTGCAAACCAATCGATTTGCATTTAGTTCAAGCCAGAAAGAGAGGATAAAAGAAATCTAATTATGATTTTAGTCCTATTATATTGAGATTTAGGATTTAATCAATATTTTACTTATTAATAGATTCAAATCGATAACACTTAGATGTTACCGTTAAAAGGTGATGTAGAATTTTTTACTATTATGTTACCATTAACAAACAAATTTACTATTGGTTGAAAATGCTCGATTGAATTTTCGTGTACGACCCTATGTGATTGAATAACAATAAATTAAGATTAGGTAAAGTACAAAAGCGGTCACTAAACTATATTAAAATGATCTTTTTGGCCACTGAAGTTTCGAAAGTTACAACATGATCGTTAAACTTATCGAACTATTATAAAATAATTACTACACATTATAAAATAGTGATAAAATTCGATAAGTTTAAGGATCACTTTGTAGCAGTTTGATACGTTTTAACAACCATTTTGTAGCAGTTAGATAAGTTTTAACGACCATTTTGTAATAGCTTGATAAGTTTAATGACTATTTTGTAATTTGTGAAACTTCAGTGGCCAAGAAGATAATTTCAGCATAGTTTAGTGACCAATTCTGTACTTTACCCGAGAAAATTTTCCTAGCTCATCATTCTTACTGCACCATTAACTAGCAGTGATACCAATTTAAACTACCAGAGGACCAAATTACGCCATTCTAGAGTATATCAAAACTTTTTTTTTGATAAGAATTGGCCCCGTTAAAACCCCCTTCATAATTATTATGTTGTGAGACACAATAATCATTGGAAAGGGGAAAAGGGTGCCCAAAATTTATTATCAAACATAAGAATTACAACCAAAACCAAACAAACACTCAGTACAAAAGACCTTCAACTCAACAACCCACAGGCCCCAATCTCACCAACCCAGAAACTCAAACATTCCTTAACCTATTCCAGATTTAGCTAAACAGTCAGCTTCCCCATTAACACATCAATTAATATGCCTTATAATAACATTAAATTGCATCACAGACTTCTGAATCTCTGTGATCATATCGACATAAAGAACCGGGCTGAGTTCCGGGTTGTTGATCCACTTCAAAGCAAGAAGTGAATCACTTTCTAGGATCGGGGACCCTTTATCCCTCCAAACTGATTCAAAAAATAAATCTAAACCAGCTTTGATTGCAAAAATCTCTGCAAGAATCGGAGTGCAAGGTCTGTCGCTCTAGAGAAGAAAGCCAATTTCTTACTCTCAGCATCCTTAAGCATAGTATAAGACTAAAACCATAATTAGACCAACATATTAGTATTCAAAATGTTGGCAAAATTGAAGAAAACTGACCTAATCGTCGAGCAATCCCAGAACCAGTATTATCTGAAGCACCTCCAAGAATTGAAGACACGCTCACCGTATTATTCTATTATTACCATGAATCTTTTTTATTTTAGCAAAAATTCCAAATCCATATCATAATCAATGATCACAAATTAATGAATTGAAGATAAATAAAAATTAAAAAAAACCCTTACAGGTCGTGTAGGAGCAGCGGCATATAAATTCCCCAGTTTAGCAGAATCAGAGCCGATCCATACGTATATCTATCAATTAATTAAACAGTAAATATGTAGATTCGTGAGAGTAATAAATAAATGGAGAAATTGGAATACCTGCTTAGCGAGGCGAATGATCTGAAAGTGGAGGGTCACTTCATCGACGAGCTCCCAAAAGGTTGTGACTTGCACACCGGAGGCGGAGGCGGCAGAAGCAATGACTGTTTTCGAAGCGGCTTCAAAGTCCGATGTTATACCAGAAGGAGAAGGAGAGGACATGTTTATCGTCTTCGTCTTCCTTCTGTTCCAGTATACGATTAGCCTTAACTCACTCAAACTAAAAGTCCTAATTTTCTTTGGGTTAATTACGATAAGCTTCACTAAAATATGGCTCAAATCTTAAATTAGTCCCTTAACTTAGTTGATATTGAACCTTAAAGTATCAATATGGTATACAAATCCTTCATTTAGCTTACTAATTGGGGCATTAAAGGTACTAAACCTACAAATTGAAGTCTTCTATCTAATTCATTTCTTTCCGACTTGATCATGTTTTATCAACTTTGAACTTATACCGAATTTGGAGATGAAAAATCATTTCCGACTTAACATAAATGTTTTTTATTTGATAAGATATGAAGATAATTAAATTTTATATATATATATATATATATATATTTATTTTTATTTGATACTTAACAGTGGTGGATTCAAAGCATACTTAAGGTATACACGTGTCTATCTTGCAATTCAATTTTTTTTTCATTAATTGTTTATTTTATTATAAGTGTCCACCCATACAACAAATTTCAATAATTCATATGCATGTATCTGTCCTCAAAAATATTTTTGGATCTTCACTGCCCACCGAACAATTACGAGTGGCGCAAGAATCGGCTTTGCTTATGAGATAAACCATGGCCTCGGCTCCGCTCCCCACTGGTTGGCAACACATCAATTCTGCCTTTTCAAACAGGATGTTGTACTCAAAGCTCCTTTCTCTCCAAAAATCTAAATTTACTTGGTGGATTCAACCTTATTAAGCCGGACAAATGTCATGGTTCCAGCCCTACCAAACAAAACTGCTTGATTTTGACAAGGTGATGGACCTACCTTAGTCGGAGTCTCTGCCACATTCATTAACAACGTCGTGTCGGAGGCAAAATCATTTGGACCTACCCCATCAAAACCTCCCAATTCATAAAATGCTATCTATATTTAATTGGAACTAAAGATGCACATTTATTATGGATTCAACTATATTTGATTTAGTACGAACGAAACAATCTCGGTTATACAAAAATTATTATTATTTTTTGAGGTTAGTAGTATGAGCGTTTAATATCACGGTTTCAATCGACTTTGTACTTACCCCCATTGTGATGGAATTTATGACTAATGATTAATGATATGATGATGGAGAATGGAGAATGATATATAGTTTTGAAATTATAATTTTCATGTGCATGGTTGAGTAGAGATGAAGTCTCTGCCCCTTCCTTTTTTTTTCTCATTAGGTGATTATGATTATGAATTGGAATCTAGAAAATGATTATTATTTTGATCAATAATATTGGGATGGTATTATTTTCATAAATAATTTTTAAAAATGGTATATATGGGTAATGAAATTAATCTCTCTCTCTCTCTCTCTCTCTATATATATATATATATATATTAAAGTTGAGTTTCTTCTTTGGCGTTGGCATTGGCATTGGTGGTAAGTACTCTATAGTGTTTCTGACTATGAATCTCCAGTTTTCATTTTCTTTCTACTGAAAGCTACTAACTTTCTTTTTGAGTTTACTGTATAAGTTTTTTAATGCAGTTTGTAGTAATTGTTTTCTTGCTGTTGTGCCATTGACAGTGATGTGCATTTTCATTTTCTTTTTGACACACTTTTCAAGACTTAAATTCCCTCAAATCCTTTAGTTTTAAGGCCCATATATATATGGAGCTTCCCTTGCTACTCTTCTCACTCTCCACATTGAGGTAAATCTTCAACATCAACTAATACATTTGTTTTGTCTGCATTCAACTATCCAATGTCTATTTCGGGTTTTCAAGTTTGCACAAAACTTTCCCTTCAGATTCAAAATCTGGGTTTTTCTTATAGCAGCATTTACTTTATAACAACATGCTTCTAAGTCTCAGAGTTTAATTTTTGGTCATGTATGAGTTTCCATTGTTGACAGATTCAAGAGAAAGCTCAGTGGTCCTAGTTTGCAGAGGAAGCAATGGAGGAGAGTTTTGTGTCGTTCTGTGGAATAAAAAACGATATCCGAGGGCGAATCAGGTGTTACAATCAAGACTGGACCAGTGGCCTTAATGCTGGTTTTAGGTACCTCATTTAATTTTCATGACAAACATTTGTAACAATCTTGTGCTATTGATGTAATTGCATGATTCTTCTGCAGGATTTTGGCCCTCACCACCTATATATTCTTTGCATCAGCAATTCCAGTGATTTCATTTGGAGAACAATTGGAAAGAGACACAGGTAATACATACATATACATGTGTGTGTGTGTATGTATCTGTATACATTATTGGATTAGAGACAATTTGTGCTTAAAATGGAATGTTTTCTTTGTGTTGACAGATGGGGTTCTCACAGCAGTTCAAACATTGGCTTCCACTGCATTGTGTGGAATAATACACTCTATCATAGGTGGTCAGCCTTTGTTGATACTTGGAGTTGCAGAGCCGACCGTCATTATGTACACGTTTATGTTCGATTTCGCCAAGAATAGGCCGGATTTGGGGTCACAGCTGTTTCTTGCTTGGACTGGATGGTATGTGTCTTCACAACTTTGTTATGTTTATGAATTTATATTGTTCACTAAAGCTGTTTACGGACATGCAGGGTATGCGTGTGGACTGCAATCTTTCTGTTCCTGCTGGCTATCTTAGGAGCTTGCTCCATTATCAACAGATTTACTCGTCTCGCCGGGGAGCTGTTCGGCCTTCTTATCGCGATGCTTTTCATGCAGCAAGCTATTAAGGTGAGAACTTCATGTTTTATTCTATCCTTACACCTTAAACCAAAGCAATATATGTCTGTTGAATGAAATTCGAATAACTAAATATCGAATTGGGTTTAATAGGGACTTGCCGATGAGTTTCGCATACCCGAAAGAGCAAATCCAAAGACGATCGAGTTTCAGCCTTCGTGGAGATTCACAAATGGGATGTTTTCTTTGGTTTTGTCATTTGGTCTTCTGTTTACTGCATTGAGAAGCAGAAAAGCGCGATCTTGGAGGTGCGGATTCTGAGTTTTGTTAGCAGCCTTACATGATTCTTGGTCACAGACATTTACAATTTCATAAATCCAACATTAATTCTCAGAAATAAAAATGCTCAATGACCAAAATTCATTAGCTTATCATAAACAAAAGAAATAGACTAGTGAACAGCCTGTCTATTATGTGTCAGCTTACTGAAATTTTACTAGATTATCTATATCCTCCGGAAGGATCATTGCGAGGCTTCGTAGCAGACTATGGCGTTCCATTGATGGTAACTTGCTTCAAGCTACAATGGTTGCAGGATGTGTTGCAGCAATGCCTTTGATTAAAAAGATCCCGACCTTGGTGCTTTGGGGCTACTTTGCATTCATGGCCATCGAAAGCTTGCCTGGAAACCAGTTTTGGGAGTGACTATTGTTGCTCTTCACATCTCCGAGTCGAAGATACAAATAAACCTCTTAAAAGTGCATTTGCTTGCTTCATCATATTGTTCTAGTCACGTTTATTTAGCCTGCTTGTTTTCTTAATAATTTATTTCAGAGTACTAGAGGAGTACCATGCTACATTGGTGGAAACCGTGCCTTTCAAGACAATCGCCATGTTTAGGGTATTCCAGGCGGCGTACTTGCTTGTTTGTTTTGGGATTACTTGGGTTCCGATTGCCGGGGTTCTTTTCCCGTTGATGATCATGCTCTTGGTTCCTGTGAGACAATACGTATTGCCCAAGTTTTTCAAAGGAGTGCACCTTCAAGATCTCGATGCTGCTGAGTATGAAGAGTCACCGGATGTACCATTCAACCTTATAAATGTAAGTCGATGTTAATCTTTAACGAATGATTATAGGTATCGTTATGTAACTTTGTTCGAAGGAGAGCTGGTTAGGACAGCTTCCTTTGCTGATGATGGAGAGATTTTAGATGGAATGATTACCCGAACCCGGGGCGAGATGAGCATTTGCAGCCTGAAGGTATCAAGCTCCACCACAATTCCATCCAAAGAATTTAGGAGAACCATCTCAGAAAAAGTGTGCAGCCCGAAGTTAACAACCTCCACCACTACTCCATCCAAAGAATTTACGAGAACCATGTCGGAAAAGGTGTACAGCCCCAGAGTATGCCAACTGAGAGGGATCTAAGTCCCAAAAAAGTTGGAAGAGGGGAAGAGGGCCATTTAGTCCAAGAACAAGTGAAGCAAAGCCATAAAATTTAGGAAAAGGTTGTTAGGAACATGACTGAATGAGTATGCAGTTGCAGGAAGTCTGCCATGCATTTTCCATACTACTATTATCATTCTAGTTTAAGCTCCTTGTTTCGGCTATCACTTGTGTAATATATACTCTACTACCAATAAAAGTGTTATTGATTATCGTAGAAAAACCGATAACTTTTGACTTGTTCACTCGACTCATTCTATCTCATTTAACTTGACCCATTTGGGCATTGTTACTATACTAATAATAGTACATCTCATCACACAATAAGGGGAAAATAAACCCCATCAGGGATGAAACCTAAAGGCTGAAGTATTTTGTATTTAATAGTAAGCAATATGTATACATAGATATATGGGAATCAAAATCTTGTCTATTCAATCTCAACAACTATACTGAGATGTCTCTGTTACTGTCTAGGGCATGCCTTCCTGTAAGCAACCAATGGGAGGTATAGTTAATGTCTCTTCAATTCCATAAGCATTCCAACAAAATGGATCATCCAGCAAATCTCCTTCTTCTGGCAGGAGCTCAACTTCCGCCATCGTTATGTTTGTGCAGGCCATGGTATCGCTGCACGCGAAATGGATTGGAGGGGTTCTAACATCGTACGTGCCCTTGATGTTCCTGTATTGGATGTCTGTGACATGAACAGCTGATTTTTGGTTCAGGCATTCCTTTGACAGACAGTAGTATTAGTCCACAATTATGCAGTTCAGAACGTTCTCCATCTGGATGTTCTCGAACGATAGCCTGAAACCGAACCGGTTCCCCCTTGCCATGTCTTGATCCTCACACCGTTGTCGGATTCTCTTATGATGGTGTTGCATACGGTTATGTTCGAAACACATGCCTGGGAATTATGCACCCCAAGGCTCCCAATGCTGCATAAATGAACTTGGCTCAGTACTTAATGTCCATTTATGATCAAGCTATTTTCATGACACGGCAACTATTTATAGCTCAAAAGCAATTGGTTGAGGTGTTCATTTAGTGTCGAAAACGACATCCGATGCCAATCATACACAATGTGCACATGAATTTTGTTTCTATGTTTTAAGTAATTTTTACCTTTTTAATCAACTAAAGTGTACCTCGCTGAATTAAATGCTATCCAACACATGTTTAACATCGCTTTTGGCTGTAGAAGAGCATTTTTCGATGGCAAAAGTGAACAATTTTTTTGTGTGTGGCTAAAATCACTTTTTGGAGCCAAACCAAGAAATTAGTTGTAGGTGCTTTTCATCTGTTTTGCACACATCTTACAGGTATGTCTGGTTTAGTAGTTAACTAAGTGTGTCTTTAGCATTGAAACCAAACCAAAAAGCGTTTTTCAACTGCAACAACTATGTTAAACCAGTGCAAAGAGAGGGGCAGTCTAAGATACCTGATCCCGTGACTAGGACCACAGGTGACGCCATCGATGTCTACATTCGAGCATCCAGTACCAAGTGAAATGCAATCATCTCCTATTTAGATCAAAACCATGAGTTTTTTTCTCTGCATTATTGCAGAAATAAACTGTGTACACAGATAACAAAGCATGTCTCCCACCGTTGCTTACATAGAGTTATAAATCCCAACAGATTTCGTGTTCTCAATGTGGATCCCATCGGTGTTGGGGCTAAGCTTAGGCGTCGATACGGACTTCTCGATCAAAACACCTTCTCACCCATCGAATTTCGTATGAAACTGAGGGCTGCTTTGGATCCTTATGTCACTCACTACTAAGTTCGAGCTCATGAAGAACCTTATCATCTGTATAAAGCAAATCAAAGGTCAATATTGAATACACTAACAGCGTATAATTATATATATCGATACGTCGTTTAAATCGTACTTACAGCAGGGCCGTCGCTTGGTCCTGAGTCCTGACAGATATGAACCATTGAGACCCTAGTCACATCATCACAAGAATTTAGAGCCACAAATTGATTATTTTTAACTTGAAAAATAATAATAAGATAAAGTACCCTGTGAGGTTTGCAAGGGAGTTCCTACCATTTGTGTGTATTTCCTTCAATGATCCCATTACCCGTGAGTTTCATGTCATTAAGTCTATAAATTACTAGCCATTGCTTGCGGCTATTTGCTTTGGGCCAGCATTCGGGTCCCTCTGTTGGCATTAGGACTCCATCAACCTTCCACCATTCAATCACAATCGAATTAAACTCTGAATTCGTAAACTAAGGGCTAGTTCAGCATTGTTTTCTTAAGAGAAAGGATCGAAAAAAGCTTACTTGAAACACAAGTCCAGGTTTGCAAGGCCCTGAGAAGATAGTGGAAGTGATCATGAAAACTTTATCCGAAGGAACCAAAATAGTGGCTGATTCTACAGCACTAGCAGCTTTCCATGCTTCTCTGAAAGCCGCAGTGTCGTCCAAAGAACCATCACCCGCTGCACCATACGAAGTCACATCGAAAATGCAGTCCCATTTATTGCCGGGATCGTTCGGATACAGGGAATAGATGGCGAGCTAGCAGGAGGAGGTTCAGCAGGTGTTGTAGGAACTGAAGGAGCTGGTGCTTCATCAGATGGAGAAGGAGGGGACACATTAACCTTTTGTCCCTTGTGGTAATGATATCTCGCATCGACATTGATAGTAGAAAGGGTGACCACCATTGCCACCACCGTCCACACGAATAAAAACCAACGACCGAGGTCCATCGGAGGCTACACAACGTATAAGTATCAAGCAGGCTAATAAGAACAGAGCAAAATGGAAAGTTTTCACAAGTGATATAAGGACTTTTGAAGAGATGAACCAAAGGGTTGTGCTAATTTAGAGTGAAACACTAACTCCACGGGAAAAACCGTCGTGAGTGACAGTTCGACGTGTGTCGAGCCGTGATTGATGGAGGGTTTTGCTTTCGTGTGCCGAATTCGGCAGAAGGTTATTTGGATTTGGCTCGATTCTTCATTGGTCATCAGTGGATGTTAAGATTTCTGCTGCTGGTTTTGCTTTTATGCCATCTGATGTGTGGCTCAAAGATGTCATTTTTTTCCTTCCAAACGCATTTACTATTATTTGTATTTTTCCAGTTTTTTTGGGTATTTTTCTTTTTTTATTATTGTAGGAAGAAGCTGTGGCATTAAGCTTGTGAACTGTACACAAGTGCCAAAGCTACAGCTTCAATCTTTTAAGGTTTTAACCACCATGGACCCCTAAGCTTTCTTAACATTGTTTTCCAGGTTCAGAAATTCGAATCCAAAATCTTGGTCGATAAATATCGAATCCCTTATCATTCGGTTTATTAAGATGATAAAGAGTTTATGTATGTTAAAGTAATACATAAATAGTGTTAGAGATTGTGACTCGAATTTCATTCGATGGTGATTCGAATCGGGTTGAACCATCACATCTTCAGCTCAACTGATGTCATGTAAAAGCAACAAATCTCGTGACTGTGTGTTGTAGTTTAGCTCTTTGTGTGAGAGCACATATAGTAGGTGGTGGACGACAAGAGAATTAAAACACTCACGGGTGCATCCAAATTCTGTGGTCCATAAACCTTCATTCTCATCAATAACTCAATAGGATGGAACTGATAAATTCAACTCATTCAATTAAAAAATTGAAAGAAGAAAATTAAAATTTTAATATATTACTATAATTGATTATAATAATCTAAAATTAAAATAAAAACCAACCCTAAATTCTATACTAAATATTGGATCTCAAAAAGCTGTGAGGCCATCACGGGTGGGTTTAACTTCAAGCTTCAATAACACTTTTCTTAATATTCCTGGCAGTGTCAGGCCGAGCTTGTGGCTGGGAGCAATGACACGTAGGACTGAGTTGATTTGCAGGAGATTCAGCCATTGGTTTGTTTTTTTGTGAGTGCTTGGGGCCACCGAGTTGATTGGCTACGAGCTCGTGGGGAAGTTTTATTTAGGCTGAACATGGGACTCATCTATAACATTCTATAGATTCAAGTTAAAAAAATTAAAATTATTTAAATTGATGAGTTATATTTTATAATTTAAATTTAATTTAAATTTTTTTCGATTTGAATCATTTGAGTCAGTTATTCTAATGTTCTGCCTTTCTCTCTCTCTCTCTATATATATATATATTTCATATTCATTTCACATTCTAATGTTATTTATATCAAATGCAATATAAAATTATAAAAATATTCACAATATTATATTTTCTTTATTTTGTAGGTAAAATATTGATGAAAGTATAAGAGTAAAGGAATTGATAGGAAGAAAAAATTTGTAATAATTGTAGTCAAAATACCAAGTTGAGTAAAGTTCAATGTTAAGGGTTTAAATAAAAAAGAAAGTATATTTTTAGTAAAAATAAGAATTGAAGTCACATAAGTATTTTTATAGTAGTACATGAGCATGTAGTTCAAATTTGATAAAAACATACTTAAAATAAGGAATGAATTGAAGAAATAAGGAATTTATGAAAATTTGATGGACTAAATTAAAAAATAAAAAATTTGTTATCGAAAATAGAAATTAAAAATACAGTGAAAGAAATACGACGCAGTTTCAGTTACTATGAAAGAAAATAATAGGTAGAAAAAATAATTTATTAATCTAAAATAATTACAAGTGATAGTACATGTTCTAAAGACGTTCAAATACCTTGTAATCGTTGGTGCTTGAACTCGAAAACCTCTAGAGATAACAATCATCCCTTTAACCACTAACACCGTTTGGTTCGTGTAGTTAAAAAATTATTCTTTCTTTAGAAATTTGATTCGATTCGATTTTAAATATAATCAAAATTTAATGTTATTATTGGAAACTAAGAGATCTAAGATTAATAATAGTAAGGGTAAAGTACACAAATGGTCCTCTGACTATAGGGCATTGCTTTATTAAGTCTATTGACTATTAAAAGTTATAAAATGATCCTCTGACTATAGAGTTTTGTTTTGTTGAGTCCCTCGACTATTAAAAGTCA